AAAAAAAAAAAAAAAAAGGCAGAAACACGGATTCGGCCGTGAAAATGGCAAGATACATTTTCGTAAGTGTCAGTGTGATCAGGGTTACAATCCTTTGAGAGAACACAGCTCGAGCATATCACGGACTCAGATTGTCAGATTCTAGAAAAAAAAAACAAGAAATAAAAAACGGAAACACGGATTCGGCCTTGAAAACGGCTGGATACATCAGTGTTACCATCATCTGAGGAAACACAGCTAGAGCAGATCACGGATTCCGCCCTGCCTCGTTGGCATGGGACACATAACAAACAAAAGAGAAAAAAAAAAAAAAAAAAAACAAGTTTCAGAATGTGACCGTCTTTGTTGTAAGATGCATTCAAGACCGTGAGCACGGCCTCCTAGACTACCCTGCCGACATCATTGCAGTACAAAAGGCCTTTTTTTTTTTCCTTTTTCTTTCGTGTATGGGCAAAAGAAAACTACGATTTTGGGGACATTGTCGCCCCTGTGTCCGACCCTCGAAAACTTCGGGTACTGGTCAGGACAACGTAATTTCCCAACACTGGGGGAGGTACTGGTGGTTTAAGATTTGGAGCATCATTTGTGCTTGCTATGTCGTTTTAGATGGGCATTCATCATCGACCTTTGAAGACCAAGGTTGAAGACTCATGCACATTGGCAAGTGTTTTGCAGTGGTGATTCACAACCCTCCTATCGCGGCGATAATTGGTTTTTCATACATCCGGAGTTGGTCAGGGGAATCGACATGATGTCTTATGACGAGTTTTGTTTCTTTTGACAATATGCGGTTTGTCAACCTTTGAGCATGGAGCTCTAAAGCACCAGTACACAACATATATCAGCCCCGGGGTGTCAGCATGAAAACCACACCACTTTGGAGGCGGCCGATTTCTTTTTCAATGGCGGGCCTAGCCGAGCGGCGCCACCGAGTTTTGTATGTGGCGACAAAAACTTTCTGCAAGGTTAGGGCTGTGTACTAACAGCTTAAGATAACTCGTTGTTATAGATGTTCATGTGTTTATGTTTGGTTTTCACTTTGGCGCTATTAGGGTTTCTTAATATTACAAATATTTAGGTTATTGTGGGTAGCAAGGATGTCAGGCCGAATGTACGAAGGCCCCTAAGCTGACCCCCGAACGTTTAGGCGTTCGGGTCCCCATACGGGGCCGGAACTTGAAGAGGTTCGGACCTCGCAAAAAACTATTTTGGCACCTAAATATTATTATTTTTTCATAAAAATTATTTTGTGAGTTCTTTGTGATGTAAAGTATCTCCCTCTTAATTTCAAAGTCATTCTGTTCAACCAAAAAAGAATGAAAAATCATCAAAGATGGTGGTGTCAAAACTTGCTTGCCCACTCACTAATTTGTTTTTTTTCTCTTTTCACTTTTTTTTTCCCTTTATTTCGAGGCATGAAAAAAATTATTATTGTTTTCAAACTTTATTTGTAGATTCTCTATTATGTAAGATACACATATATAAATTTTCACAGCATTTGTCACAACCAAAATAAAATGAAAAATCACCAAAGATGGCGGTGTCAAAAACGTGCTCGCTCACTCAATAATTTCATTTTTGTTTTAATTTTTTAATTTTTATTATTATTATTTATTTTTAGTATTTGATTTTTATTTCAAATTTGGTAAAAAATTTGGATGTACGCGTCGAGAGGGGGTGCCGAACGCTCGGGTGTTCGACCCATCCCGAACGCCGATAACCTTGGTGGGTAGGATTTTTTTTGATATTTTTGGGGAATTTTTTATAGTTGTTTTCCTGTAGAATTTGTTTTTGTGTTTTATCAGCCTCCATAATTAAAAACAGTTGAGTTAGGTTAAAAAAAGAGGTAGGTTTCTAGGTTTTTACCTCATGTGTTTCGCTGAATAATTTTATTTTAATGATATTTTGAAGTTTTTTGTAGCGTATTTTTTATAGGTAGGTATTTCAATTTTTTTGCTTTTCTAGTTATTTGTTGCAGGGGCGAGGCTTTGCCTCGAGTGCAGGGTTTGAGCAAAGTTGGTACATGAATCTGGAGGACAATTACAATGATTGATGTAAGCCTTAGGCACTAGGACCATTTATTGAAAAAAAAAAAGTGTTAAAAGAAAAAATTATGTTTCCGTTCCTGCACAGGAGGGAGGGAGAGAGGGGCCGCAAAGTTCGCTAGTGCGAAATATGAATGAATCTTCCCGAACTTTCGAATCACGGGGGAGAGAGAGATACAAACACAGAGTGAGACGCAATGAGTTTACCATAGCGCTCCACGCAACTCACCATTTTTATTTTTATTTTTATTTTTCTCTCCCTATGTATCTCTCTCTYTGTCTCTCTCTCTCTCTCTCTCTCTCTCTCTCTCTCTCTCTCTCTCTCTCTCTCTCTCTCYCTCTCTCTTTTTCTCTCTCTCTAWCTATTGGTGGATTTTTTAATCTCTTGATGGGATTTATTTGGTAATCCAAATAATTATAGGTATTTTTTTAGCAATGCATTGTATGCTAATTCAATTACACGATAAATAGGTCAAACACAGAAAACTTGAAACTAAATGTCTGGAGGAGTTAAAAACGTTGTTACCAAGACAGAGAAAAAAATGATGTAGTTTGAACTACTTCATTGTTTATAACATGTTTAAAACAATACCTTACTTGATCCCAAGAGGCTCAACTCTTGCGAGAGTCAACAGAAGACTCTAGCGAGCCTCTAGCGGCTCGCCTCAAAATTTGAATCAAATATAGGAACTACATCATCATACATACAATTCAGAGTTAGGTTTCATAGGGATAAATAAGCAAAAATTAGTTACACGCAAGGGAAATAACTATAGGGGGTACCATGCCAAAGAAAAGTCATAGATCCCGTTATCAGAATTGTATTGTACGAACCCTTAAGGGAATCGACCTAAAACCGTTATATTCCGACATTGAGTGAGGTCTCAAATAATCAACATAATCTAAATTTTGATACAATACTCGATTGATCGGACCAGATTGTATTCGTATCTCAGTCAAGGAATACGTGAAAGTCTGCAACATCACTCTCCACCAACTGTCTCGATGAATCTAAGATCGGATATGCGACGTTCAAAACCACATACTTGCTTACTTTCTCTCTCTCTCTCTCTCTCTATCTATCTATCTATCTATCTATCTATCTATCTCTCCGAAGTGGATAATGTTTTGTTTTTTTTTTCCAGTAAACTACCATTTTATTTTTATTTATTGTTTAAGTTGATTGTTACCGGTCATTTAGGATAACAGCCCCCGAAAAATACCCTCGTGAACGAGGCGTGTATCTTCTTTCAAGTTACGCCAAGTACTGGTGGCTTAGCCACCAGTACCTCGCCCCGCTTGAAATCAATTTTACGATGGGTTACATGAAAGTCAAATGGAGGTCGCTCTGTCTCACCTATACTGTTGAGTTAAACCGCCACTTCCCTCGATGCAAAAAACTATAACATACGGTAGACCGCAATCGTCCAATGTTTATTGCGCGACTAGTTATTCACAGCATGTCGGATACCGGTCGGATTTGTCGTTGGAGAAGTGGGACCCGTGCATTTACTCCCATTCGAAATCCCGTGTTGACACAAGGCGTTCGAAGTGACCGTTGTGTTAGTTCTCCGTGAATTTCATTATCGTTTTTCAAAAGGAAAAAATATATATATATTTTCGTTTTCGTGTATTTTTTTTTCCCTCTGTATGATTGTTTTGTTTTCACATATTTCCGGACGGGAAATGAACACCTTCCATTCAGGCCAATATCACCACGGGAGAGCCGCGATAAGCCATCCCTATCGCCTTTGAGTTTTGAAAAACCACCGATTGATGATTATTGTTTGTGTATCTGTTACAATCATACATTGCACCCTATCACTGTCATGCTATGGCATCCTTTCACTATTGCCGACGTGTTCGTACAAGAGCACCCGGGGAATTTCGTCGAATACTTGCACCGTTTCGAGATGGTGACCCTCGCTCGAAAGCGGGATCGGGTGGGAACGTTATAAGTTATTCCCACAAGCACTGCCCATCTCGTCGCTCTCTCTCTCTCTCTCCCCCCGCTCTCTTTATCTCTCTCTGACCTCATTGCGGATTACAAAATTGTCATCTATGTCTTCGTACGCAAACGAGACAAACAATTGTCTGCAAGTTTCACCATTGTCGTTAGGGAAATGAGGGTGTGCAAACAAGGCAAAAGAAAAAATGAACAACAAACTACACACACAGGACGACATAGACACACACACACTCGCAGACACACGCGTACACATACGCACACTCAAACGCAAATGCAAACGTACACTCGCATACACATATACACACATCTACGGTGAAGTGGACGAACACAAAGGTGTTAGACACAACTCCAAACGCGCAAGTGTGAGCCGACGATTGATGAAAAATGA